ACATTGTAAATAATGCTCGTTTTACTATTTTAAATTGACAAATATCTTTATATTGCATTATAAAATGCCTCTATATTTTAAATTCTCACTTTTAAATTGTTTCAAATTATGCATATTGTATGAGTGACGTCATTCTGGCGCCAAAATTCAAATGCCTATCTGTATCTTTTTAGCTTATAAAAGCAGCTATTGTACCAGGTTTTTCTCTCTTTTAAATGCCATTTGATAAAGCCCTGTGTGGTGAAACGCGTTTTGGCTATTATTAGTTTGTTTTATATATTGATATATTATATTTTAATAAAGGAATATCGGCTCTTATTTTTTGCCTATATATTTTGAATTCCTTCCATTTTTAATTTGAATTTGAATTACCTGGTCACCGATTTGGATTGAAGCACGTCACTTTCCAAGAATCCTAAGGTGGGGATTGTACCACCTGCGCCATCATACTGAGCAGTAGTTCCTGCTCATACACATGTGAGTATTTTACCATTTTTATTTGTTTTTATATAATTCAGTGAGCACTATATACGTCTCTCATCTTTTTACATATCGAGGAATTGCTCAGGACTCCATCACCTATATCCAACCAGTGGGGGATTGACGCCACTGAACGCTAAGAATACTTGAGCAAAGTTTTTTTGCTCACGCCAAGGTGAGTTTTTTACCTACTTATAGACCCACACCTGGAAATTTTGTCGACATCCTACACTATTGGAGTTCTTTTTTATTTCTTTTATGTATCCACATATTGACAAGCGTTCCAAGACATCTTCAACATAAGAAGATTCAGATATCCATTTGGACTGTATACTCATCTAAGAACAACACAGGTTTATCTATTATTTGGGACTTTTTTATCACTTTTATTTATTCCATTTATTTTACCTCCCTGTCCCTTAAGTGCGACCTATATACCCATTTTTGTCTATCCTATTCCATGTGAGGCTTGTTGAGGGACCTCATTCCTATAGGTTGCTGCTTTTACACTTTATTTTAGTTTCTTTTAGATTACTTAGCGCTGAACCATTATCTTTTTGTTCTATAGTAAACTGATGAAAGTCTGAAGATAAACAAAAGGAATAATGATAAGGTAAGGGAATGATAGGTAGAGTGAAAAGTAAATAAATCATTTGAAGGATTGAAAAGAGGGAAAAAACTGAAAAGGGCTGTGCAGCTGTCCACCGGGCTGTCAGTTTCCAAACATTGCGCTAAACCGAAAGAAGGTGGGAAGCGCAGTATCGGGTTAAGATGGCCACCGTCGGCCAGATTGAAGGCGGGAGAAAGACCTGTCAGACACAAATGGGAGGGCGCGGGAAAAAAGGTGTAAAATCTGACCGCGGACTCTGGGAAATAGAGTCTACAGCCGATCACAATTAAATAAATACAAATTGGACCGCGGTTTTTACATAGTTCGCGGCTGAAATTTGAGAGATAGTTCACAAGAGTACCCGCAGGTCAAGATGAAGAAAAACGGCCCGATCAGATGATAAATAGTAAACAAAACAGGGATAAAATACCACTGGCAAAACCAGGATAAACTGACACCAAAACCCTGAATTGTGTAATAAAGTAAAAGATGTATTCCCAAATGTGTAAAACAATGGATAATAAATAAATGAAATATGGGAAATTATGTGTGGGGGAAAAAAAACTGTATTATAGGTGATTACATTTATTATAAGGCAGTATAATTAGAATAGACTCACCTGGGAGGCAAGCAGCAAAGAAAGAGGATGTGGGAGGAGCTTGGTGACACTATATAATATTGTTGTACACTCTGATTGGTTGAATTTTTTTACATTGTTGTTAACTGTTTCTTTGCTGCTGGGAGGTTCAGTAAAGACAGATTAAGCAAATATGAAGCCTCCTGTCTTGCCATAAAATTACAATAAGTACTTAATAACACAATAGGCCTGTGTAAATGGTCTCGTTCCATATTAACATTTTCAGTTAGATGAGGATTTTCAATTGTTCGCGAAGTTATCAAAATTGACCCAATATAAACTGTCTTTGGTCATATTCCTAGCCACAAACTCTAAAATGTAAGCCTCTTTCGCCATGTAAAATAATGTTGGCCGGTATGGACTTGTTTTTTTTAAATAGTACTTAGTGGCACTTGTTGCTGTGTGGACATGTAAATACCTCGTTCTCTGGATAACAATGTGTTTAACCACTTCATAATCAATGGCTCGTAAGACTATCATGATACCAGTGTTTTGCCTAATCAGGATTTTTATAGCCTTGTTGCATGGCTTTAGCCCCCCCGCCCCGCTGCATCACCACTTCCTAGGAGGTTTCATGGGGTTTATTATGCAAAGTGGGAACCAAATCCAGTACATCTTAATGAAATGTTTGGGTTCAAGGATGCTGTACCCTTACGCAGACAATGTAAAACATTACAATTCACTGGAATTCCAACGCAGTCAAAATATATATTTAGATGAATTAGCGACTACTTTGTCTTAGTCTTTTTTCTTAAGCTTCCTTCCTCTATTTAGATTTCTGTTCCCTACTTTTTTAAATTACAAAAAAATGAAAGGAAAAAAATATGAACATATCATCTAGCTCCAGAACAGGCTACCCTCAGCAGCTGCTACACTTTCTGTACAATCATCTTGACTGATGATAATTCGTAGAGAAGCATAGGGGCCAGAGGGCACATAGCAGTTATTGTGCTTTGCCAAGTCTGGTACTTCTCTCAGAGAATCA